TTCAACAAGTGTTAGCAGGTGATGGTCATTTCAAAGTCAGCAGATTGAGATGAAACTTACAGCTCCCATGGGCTCGAAGTTGGCAGGGGTCTTGTCCTCGTAGTAGTCGGGGTTCTTGATCTTGCGGGGAGCCCAGACGCCCTTGTAGGCAGGGTTGTCGATGTAGGGGGCAGTCCACTTGCCCTTGTAGTCGGGGTTCTTCTTCATGGGCTTCTTCCAGGGACCGCAGCCAGAGGCCTCGGAGCACTTGGGGTTGGGGACAGTAGGGGCTATCCAGTCACCGTCCTCCTCGTCATCCCAGTCCTCGGGCTTCTGGGCCTCAGGGTCGGGAATGGTGAGAGGCTCCTCCTCGAGCCAGTCCTCGGGCTTGGTGGCCTCCTCGTCGACAATCTCGTAGGGGGCATCCTCATCCCAGTCCTCGGGCTTCTTGGCCTCGGGGTCAGCGATGCGGGCCTCGTCAACCCAGTCCTCAGGCTTGGTGTCCTTGGCATCGTCAATCTCCTTGGGAGGGTTGACGGCGGGGGTGAAGTCCTCGAGAAGGGAGCCAGTCTTGACCTGGTCGCCGTTCTGCTGGATGATGTAGGTGTTGTTGGGGTGAACAATGAGAGTGTAGAGCTCGGTGGTCTTGACAATGCGAGCGGTGGGGGGAGAGTTGAGGTGCTTCTCCTCATACTCGCCAGTCTTGGGGTTCTTGTGGTTGAAGATGAAGTGGACCTTGTTAGTGTGGCCGCACTTATCAGGACCAAACATGATCACGTAGGGAGTGGCGTTGGAGAACTCCTCGGAGTGAAGAGCCTTGTTCTCGCGGAGGAGCTTGAGGTAAGCACCACCACACTCGAGGCCATCTGGAGAAATTTTGGTCAGCACCGCGCACAATTGAGCTGTCGTGTTTTGGGGCATGAATGAGACTTACTCTGAAGCTTGACCTCGTACTGGACAACGAGAGTCTTGCCCTTGTTGTCAATCTTCTTGGGGAACTTGGCGGAGATGGCGTGGTGAGCAGCGGGGTTCTTGACAACAAGACCCTTGTCGCCCTCCATGCCCTTGTAGACCTTGGGCTCCTCAACAGCCCACTCGCCAACGTAGGCCCATTCCTCCTCGTCCTTGCTGTCCTTCTTGGCGTGGGAAGGAGACCATCTCTGCTCCCAGTCGTCGGTGAACTGCTCAAGGAAGGGGGCCTTGAGGGTGGTAGGCTGCAGAAAACCAATTGTCAGCAGCTTGCTACTTGCGAGGTTGGAAGGCATGAAGAGTCAGGTGCGGAGAAGCTTCCCCAGGCATCCGGACCGCTGCCACGTGCATTGAGCTCGTGCCTTCAGGCCAGATGCTGGCACACGGCGGCGGTGAGGGGCGATCGCAACAAAGAAGGTGCTGTTCTGGAGAGTGTGAGAGGGATGGAGAGGAGCAGCTTACGGTGAAGGTAGGGATCTGAGGAGTGACCGAGGTAGCGGACTCAGAGGCAGTAGAGGCCTTGTCGTCGCTCAGAACCTTCTGGGCATCGTCGGCGTAGGCACTGCCAGCCAGCAGAGCCGCGGCCGCGACAGCTGTAATCTTCATGATGGAAGAGACCGTTGGACCAGGTGGAAGAAGGGGTGGGAAAGATGAGAGACCTCAAGCTTGGTAGCTTAGGCAGGTACGGGTAGGAAGAACTGTCAATTGAATGACAAAGTCGGTTGCTCCCAGCGCGCAGGTGTACGGAGGAGAATTGATCTGGTGAGGAATTTCCCAAGGAGAGGAAAATAAGTTTCGGAAGAAGGAATGGGGCGAGCGAAGGGAGACGGATTTATTATCTGTCTGTGAGGCAGGAGCAGCCAGCAGAGGCAGGTGCAGGTGCAGGCAGGTGGTGCAGGCGTGGACGGGTTGTGCTCAACGTGTCCTTTTTTTTGGGTAAGGTGTCGGCAAGCAGCTGCACCCAGAAAAGGCCAGCTGGAGAGAGCTATCACCTCTCGGGGTAAAGCATCGCACTGCTCTGCACCGGGGAGTACCTCACACAAAGAAATAAAATTGGGGAACCTACCCTGCTGGGCCTGGAGGGTGCTAGGGGACCAGCACTTGCCGTGCAGCGCCTCACCTTACAACTCCAGGGGTCGTCGGGGTAGCCCTTCAGTGTTCACCTGCAATCCAGGCTGCTCACCGCACCAGCACACCAATACAACCTATGCCTTGCAGAGTGCTCTGGCACCTTTTACAGTGGGCTCTGGCCTGTGGCTGACTGGCTGGGCAAAGTGCGGGGACGCGGTCCAGAGGCCCAGGGGTGGGATCCACACCTGCTAGCAGTGAATGGAAGGAGGGGAGATTCAAGGTGCTTCGATGAGCTTCCAAACCACCACTGCTCATAGCCTCATCCCGGTCTGCTCTGGAACTGAAGACCGAGCTTTGGATGCTCCTTCCCTAGCTGGCAACATGGAGTATGGTCCTAATTTCTCATGTTCTATTTGAGCAGTTCGCATGTCACTTGGCCAGAGTCGTTGGTCTGCTCTACTTGAATTGCCTGCCATGCCCGCCTGGTTTGAGATGGTGCGCCTTACCAGCCACCAGCATTGCGGGTGGTCCCGAGCTGTCTGGGGCCCAATGGACGCATGAAGTTGATGTCTAACTGGAGGAACTCTGAATTACGCCAGCATAAGGGACGCGGGCTCAGATATGCCTCGGCCCACGCCTGACACCAGCCCGCAATGCGATATCTCGGGAAAGTTTCAGCGTCCCAACGGCTGGGCAGGGCATGATGCTGTTTTGGGTAGGTAGGCGGGCTGCGGAAATGGGCGATTTAATATCACCCAGAGTCATTCCTTCAATCGCAATTATTACCGTCAATCTCACCTCACGATGGGGCACCCAGTATGTACCCACCCGTAAATAGCAGCACTGACATGGCGCATCTCACATATCCGTAGCTCTGTCGCCCGTAGTCGGAAAGTGGTTAGGTGTCCTTTCGCATCGACTGCCCTGCGCCAATTCAGCCTCATCTGACGGGGCTAGCCGCCGATTCTTCACCGGTCTGTCACATTAGCCTTTAGTGCGGTCGACTGTCTATCCGCATATCCGCCAACCCGAATCTCTGTCTTGATCCAATCGAGTGTCTTAGTAAGCCGCCGTCGTCCAGTGGAGAGAGGCGAGCACAGAGACGGTGCCCCGTTCGATACCTAAACCAACGCAGCCAGCCAATCGATAGCCGCGGACTCGTTCTCGCATCCCACCCTGCCAGCGAAGAGACCTCACTGCAGCGTGTGTTCTGTGCCTTGCGTGCTATGCCATGTGGGGAAGAAGGAAGTTGTCACTGGCCAATTGAGCCTCATCTGTATGAGCGAGCGTGTGGCTGGTAGAAAATTTCCGTGATCTGAGCGACTTGTGATACCTGATTGTGACGAATTTCTTCAATCTACCTTTTGGACAACAAGAAACGTTTGAAAAAGGAAGCGTACGACTACTATACTTTGCGTGCATCGCCTCAGAAATTTCGGAAATCGTCGCGCTCGTGTTCCTGCGCCTTCACCCCGCGACTCATTATCACCCACCCATCGCTCATCTCATCTCACTCCACAGCCCATCATGGCTTCCGCCGGTGAGATCGAAAACCCCGACCAGCTTGTTACCTCCGAAAACCCGGAGCACCCTGCCAACCTCATCCCTTCTCTCTGCGCAAAATTCTGGCATCTCGGTTGGGTGACGGGTACTGGTGGTGGTGCCTCTATTCGTGATGGGTAAAGAATCTCCCCCAAGTTGTTCCCCCTCGTGAATACAACAAACCACTCATGCAGAGCCATTGCGCTGCTATTGTTCATATATGAAATCTGTTTGTCGTATTGTTTCCCTTCAAAGAACCATACTACACACTCTATACAAACACCGCCCACAAACATGATCGCACACTTACACCCTCCAGGGACCTCGTCTACATCGCCCCCTCGGGCGTCCAGAAGGAACTCATGAAGGCCCAGGACATCTACGTCCTCTCCCTCGCGGCCCAGGAAGCCTCGCTCAAGAACCGCGTCTACCTCCGCTCCCCGCCCTCCTACAAGCCCTCGCAGTGCACCCCGCTCTTCCTCGCCGCCTTCACCCGCCGCGGCGCCGGCTGCTGCATCCACACCCACTCCCACTGGGCCGTCCTCGTCACGCTCATCCTCGAGGGCCGCGGCCCGGGCAACGACAAGCTCTTCGAGATCAACAACATCGAGCAGATCAAGGGCTTCGGCAAGGGCTTCCAGAAGCAGGGCAACCTCGGCTACCACGACACGCTGCGCATCCCCGTCATCGAGAACACGGCCCACGAGGAGGACCTGACCGAGTTCCTCGAGGAGGCCATGGACAAGTACCCCGACACCTACGCCGTGCTCGTTCGCAGGCATGGCGTCTACGTCTGGGGCGACAACGTCCACAAGGCCAAGACCCAGTGCGAGAGGTGAGTCAAATAAGTTGCCTGATTATGTTGACGAGCAGCATTGTCCCCCATCTTGCCTCTTGTGTGTCTCAATGAATCGTCATGGCTAACACGGTCTGGTTTAGCTTGGATTATCTGTTCCAGTTGGCCGTTGAGATGAAACAGCTCGGCGTCCCCTGGCTCAGCGACATTCCAGTCACCGTACCTACTAGGAAATAGATGTAGCATGATATCAATAAACCAAAAGAATTCGAGTTTCCACATTACCTATGCCCATGCCACAAGAACCCTTCTCGGTATCGATTGCGGGGTATTGCAGGGTCGACAGCTAACACGCTCGCGCGAGGGAGGATATTGATTGGCAAGTAACACAAACATATCGGGTGCACATCTAGACGAATCACAACCTGGTTGTCAAGGGATTGGAATAGTTGATGATTTGCAATAGACGATTTCTCGTCCACTGGCACATTACGATTGTTCCATATAGTCTGCCTACTCATTATTGACCGCATATACAGTATACATCTCCCAAGTGGTATCTTTCCATCATCACCTCCTGATCATCCAGCTCATTCGTATTTTTCCAACCTCAAATGCAAGAAACGAAGAATGCCTATTCCATTTACAGAAGGGCAGCGGCGACGACACCGATGACACCGAAGGCTGCGGAGCCAACGAGAGCGGGGGCAGCGTTTCCGGTAGAGGTTCCGCTGGCAGCAGAGCCGGTGCCAGTAGCAGTTCCAGAGGCAGAGCCAGAAGCGCGGGTAGCAGAGCCGGTGGCGGCAGCAGTCTCGGAGCCGGTAGCAGTGGCAGCGGAGGCAGAGTTGCCGGAGCCGGAGCCAGAGCCGGAAGAGCCAGTGGGGTTGGGGGTGCCGCCGCTGGTGAAGTAGTACTCGGAGATGCAGCCGTCACGGCACTTGGCGAACTTCTCAGTGGCAGCGGCAGATCCGTCACCCTGGTCGCAAGCGGCAACGCACTCGGTGGTCTTGTTGATCTGGTCAGCGTTGGGGCTGGGGACCTGTATGAGCAGCACATGTTAGCGATCTGTTATACAATCCCTGAGAAAGCTTGGCTTCATTGCGCCTCCGCCAGGGAGGCACCCCAAACTTCGTTTGTCAGACTTACAGCAATGCACTTGGCCTGGCAGTTAACGTCGGTGGCAGGGCAGGCAGCCAAGCACTTGGTGATGGCAGCCTGAGCGGAAGTCTCAGCAACGGCGGCGCTGGAAGTGGCAGAGGCCGAGGACTGGGCGCTGGCGACAACGGCGAAGACGCCGGCAACGAGGATGGAGGTGAAGCGCATTTTGGCTGGTGTTTGTGTGATGTGTTACACGGGTGTATTAAGAATATCGATAGTCGGTATTGGGTCACACAACGAGAGTGATTATAGCAGGCGTAAAGCAACGAACGTAGAGCAGAGGCTGAAGAGGGAGGGAGAGAAGGGAGAAAGGAATCATGTGGATGGACTGGAGGTGGGTTTATAATAGCGTGTGCCCTGCGGGTGGTCTCTCCTCCTACACTAGGGGGAGGGAGAAAAAAAACCCATACCCATCTCTCCAGACGGGAAGTCGACATTGGACCAGGGCCTTTTCCTGCTTGGGGGTGTTGACAACCTGGGAAGCCAAGGTCCGCCCCAGGTGCCATGCTATGATTAGCCTCGAACTGGAGCGTTGCCGCCGCCCCTTCTTCTCGTGGCTTCTCATCACACCCACCCCGTCTCTTCAGCTGATGTCTTGTTCGTGTCCTTGGGCCCGGGTATGCACACTTGTGCCTGCACGCAAGGGCGGTGTCTGGAGGAGTGGCTAGACGGGGTCTTGGGTGTGAGCTCAGAGACTCTAAGGATACGGATACCCAACGACAGCACCGAGGGCAACAGCCAAGCAAGCCCAAGACTGCGCGGGAAAAGGCTCTGTCCTCGGTAAAGCAACGAGAAAGCGAGTGACTTGTGAGCCGCCCTTCAAGCCGGTTGCCCAGTCCCTGTTGCTGTGGGCAGAGACGCAAAAGCCAAACACAAGCGAGAAAGGGGAGCCATAGCAAGGTTGACTGACGATCGAATTGGATCGCGCCGCGTCCGGGGAAAGATTGGGGCCTCGAGACCTGCAGGCCGCCGCCCCTGGCCGGTCGATGGATTGTCCCAAGGAGGTTAAGGCACACGCCGTGCCTGACGTTAAATTGAAGAAGGTTGCCAGGTACTACTTCACGTAAGATTAGAGTAAAGGTACCTCCCGTCACCTTAACGGAGGTAAGGTAGGAGCCATTGAGAAGCCATTGGAAAGGTCGCGCTGGGCCCCTGCGAGGGAGACAGAGACCGGGAGAGATTGGGAGAAGGTTCCCTGTGACTCGTGAGGATGCCTGCGCAAGTGGATCTGCTCAGGACCAACTTGCCCAATTTTAAAATTGCGTTGAGCTTTTCCCTTTGGCGACTGTCGTGCACCCCCTCGTCTTGCCATGTTGATTCGCCCGTCGCCTGCTCCGTTCTCCATTGGAAGGACTTGCCGGGTACCCATTATTACATCAGTGTGGAGGGCCGTTGGTCTGGTGGTCTGTTCGTATTCCACTCTCGATGTTGTCGAGGCCTCTATCGAACCTTGCCACGGCTCCATCCACCATTTGTTGTTTGTTTGCACGCTGTTTTCCTCGGAGGGGCTTGGGATGGCTGACCTTTCGCGGAAGTACCAGCCCAGCGTGGTGTGGTAGTCGATTGACCTCGACTCGTGCAGACTTCGGACGAAGTTGGGTTGACAGCCAAGCAATGGCTGGCTACAAGGGAAGGAGAAGGGGAAAAAAAAAAAAAAAAAAAAAAAAAAAAAAAAGAGCACTCGTTGACCGTGACACGAGAGAAGCGCGTCTCGAGGAAATGCAAGGTTCCTGGGAAAATGGTACCGTATCATTGGCCCAAGTGACCTGCACCTGTTTCAGGGCCCCAACTCGACAGCGCACCTCAGTCGACCCGTCGACGGAACAAAGCGCTGGATGCTAGAGCGCCACACTCTATGCCACCGCTGCAGTAGCTTGGTGCCTGGCCTGCAGACTCGATTTTCTCGACGGCCTTCGTTTTTCTGCTAGAAGCAACAGACACTGGTACAATGCCTGTCTAGGCCAAATTTCGGAACGTCCAGGAGGAATCAATGCAGCCGTGCGCCAATGGTCTGTTCTGAGGAGTCCAAAATGAGCACTAAATGCGAGGGAGTCTTAGCGAATCCCATCTGCCGCCAAGCTGTCGTACTTTCTCCTCCCAGGCACCTAGGTTCGACACACGACAATGAGTCGAAGGGAATAGCGATCCTCCATTCTTGAAGCGGCATCGGTGACCTCTTCTCCATCAGTCCACTGGGAATACTCCCCCCAAGGCCCCTTTGCGACCTAGATTCGTTTCGAACGACAATGAGTGACGGCTTCCAGCAGGGACGGCATGGACATCCGTCCAAACGAACTAATATCGGCCAGTTTCATTTGCGCACTTTACTCCCGACCGACAGCCGATCATCGTCATATGCCGTCACCCGTGAGCCAGCGCCGACTCCGACACGGCAACGACTTACACAGGACCAGCGGGCTGGCATGGAGGGGATGCGCAGCGCCGTTTGGCACACACACACAGCATTCTCACCACCGCTCACATGCCCGTCGTCAGCAGCGGCGAATGGGAAAATGCAATGCCCAGTCCAATGAGTGTGTTCACTTCGCCTCATAGGATTTGCGTACGAAGTGCATGAATACGAGATGCCCATCAACCACACCACTCGGTCCTGGATCTGCGATCTACATCCTCCGGATATAGTACCACCTCCCAAGACACCAATGCCGTGCCGGTAGGCCCGTACGAGCCACCACACCCGCCTGAGAGGAGGCGCCGTCAGGCCTCCGTGCGTGGCGATGCGCCAGTCCAACTCACGTCCTTCTCCCGGTGTCATCGAAGAACGATTTGGAACGAAAAAAGGAATCCGTTCTGTTGTGGGAACGTCGACCCAAACGAAGTCGGTACCACCCCGGGCTGCTGCTACACAATTCTTTTGGTAATGGGAATAAACGGAATGGCACCGGCTGCATAGACCAATGCTGCCGCCCTGCCCGACCAGCCCATGGCCCGGAAATTTCACCACGTCATGCCGTTCTTCTTCCATCCGAACGTTAATGGACTTTCAATGCGAAAAGCGGCGACCCCTGCGCTGACTCCACGCCATCTTATTGGCCAGTTGCCCAGTAGTTCTCGACTGCGCACTAGGAAGAGGGCATTTCAACGACGTTTGTTAGATGTCAAAATAAGCTCGGCAGGACAGGACATGCGACGAGTCGCACATCCGCCGTCTGATGTAAGACTGGTAGGGAGACCGGATTGAATATCAACCCAGGAACGCCTAGTTTCAACGGAAGACCGGTGTCAGGAACAAAGAATAATCAACGGGGCATCTGACGGTTCAGAGACATGATGTGCGCCACCCCCAGCCCATCCATGAGCCGAGAGCTGGAAACACCAAGGCGTGAATCGGGTATTTGACCATGTGATGGTATTTCTTCTTCTAACTAGACCGTCGGGCATTTCGCGCCTAAACGATGCAATGCTAGCCTTGCACACCTGTCTGACTTTACAGCTCATCTCTCTGTCTAACCTCCTCTTGCGCCCCTTGCTTTAGATCATTGTCGGGCACCGGGTCAACCACGACCTCAGCATCAGGCTTCTCGTTAACAACACCATCGTCAACTTCTATCGTCGCCTCTTCGCCGATCTCCGCAGGCATCTCCTCCACAATCTTACCCACCTTCTCAAGCAGTGATTCGGGATCCCCACCAACCGCCGCCGATCGTTGAGGCTCACGCACGTCCAATGTGGGCAAAGACTCGTCAGGGAGACCCTCGACGTCAATCTTTCCTTCGCCCCCAACAACCACGGACTCTGATGCGCCCCCGGAATTGGCGTACTTGACAACCGCCCTGCTGCTGCCGATGCTAACATTGAACATCAGCCGCAAGGGCAACCAGACCAACCACCACATCGGCCCGTACAGCAACCTCCTGAACAACAGCCACGCCCCTGTAGCCATCAGCATGTAGAGAGCCGTCTGCAGGTACCATGTATCACTCTTTTGCGACCGCAACAATGTGCCCAGAAGATCCTTCGAGCTCGCCAGCATCGTGTCGAGAGAGCCGTACGACTCGTTGAGCTGCTTCAAGGCCTGCGACGACTCCTCCAACGCTTGGTGCGCAAACTCGCTCCTCGCCAGCTCCGCAGCGATTCGTTCGTGCGTCTGCCGCAGCGCATTCGTGACATCGTTGCTCGCCCCTACCGTCTGCTTGTCGTCCTCCGTCAGGGAGCTCGTGTTCCAGTCGTCTTTGGTCTGGCGCACCTGCCGGTGCCGAACGATGTCGGGCAGCGGTGCCTTTTGCGCGCCGAGGGACGGGGAGGACGCTTCGGACACGGGTTGTGAATAGGACTGCAGGAGGAGCTCGCGCTCGAGGCGTTGCGCCTGTGTGAGGTTGCGCTTCGCTATGAGCTGTGCCTTGCGGAAAGTGACTCGAGAACTACATTCGCAAGAAGTCAGTATAAATGCCGTGAAAATCCCAGGCAAGATGTCTGTGAACGAGGGAATTCCTTACGTCTTCAGCTCCTGCCTTAAGCGGTCGAGGCCATCTTTAAGCCGAGTCTTGGTGTGTTCCGCCTCGCTTCCCGGTCGCCCATCCCTAAGGTCCTCGACCTCTTCGCTCAAAAGCTCAAGCTCCTCCTCTTCTTCCCTCAAGATCTGACTGATCTCGGAGCTCAGCTCTGCGCTGACATCGCTGTCCTCGTCCGCGCCGAGCGGCACCGAGCCAGGCTGGAACTTGAGATTCTGGAGCCTGTCGATGAGCTCCTTGAGCTGCCCCGTGGTCTCTTGCAGGGCCGTCAGGCGTTCCTGCAGACCCTCGAATGACATGTCGTCTCTGTAATTCGGCTTCGTTTGTTTGCGGAGTTTCGAGGAAGCGAATAAGTAGAAGGCGTGCGGCGAATGTGGTGGTTTTGGCTTCCTAGGGAGTAAAGCTGGCCTTTCAGTGACGAAATGTCGTACCTAAGTGGGATCGCCACACCACCTATGCCCCTGGCCCCGATACAGTGATATGCAGTAAACCCACCCGAACACAAGCCACAACCGCCGTCCTAGCTCCCGGCCCCGAGCCACGCGGAAATTTTGGTGACAGCTTCACGATTCCGACCTCAGGGCCTTAAGAAAAAAAGCTCCCCCGCCTTGAGACCCCTCCGAGAACGAGCAACAGGACATAGGAATCAATTGGCGCCCCCGCCCAGCACCGTTGCCCAAGATGATCACCAAATTCATGACCGAGATCACCACGAAGTTCAACCCTTTCTCTCCGGCAGCAAAGTCCGCACGCCTCTTCCTATCCTTCATCCCGCCCACGGCCCGGTCGACGGGCATGGTGATCAACACCCAGCTCCTGCCCAAGGGCTCAACGGAGGCCCCGACTCTGAGCGTCAAATTCAGTACGTTTAGTCCCGCCCTGCCTCCGCTCGCTGCGGCTCTAGGGGTTGCGATGCAGAGCAGGAAATGATCAAAAACTAATTGGAAATTTGCAGAGGACGGCAAGGTCATGAACCTCGATTGCGAACGCTTGGGAGTCAAGAACCTCATTGAGGAGGTCGACCGGCACTCTCGTGGTCTGCAGAAGGCCGCCGACTTGACGGACTAAGGTGGGACATAGGCGGAATGTGTATTATTATGGCATTTGCATGTACGGTACGGCGTTTATGGGATGGGCATGAACGATATCCCCAGGGAAATGTCGATTGAAGTATATATGGTGGCTCAAAAGGTGTAGCATGTTCGCAAAGCACAGAGAGGGGCTTGATATATAGCCATTGGCATGCAATAGGGCCGCTCACGGGGCTCATTTCCCAGCTCATCTTGATCTCACGCGCATTGGATCTGATATCATGTGTGGAATTTTTACTTTTTGGTATTTCTAAGTTGACGCCTCCTCACAATCGGTCTTCGATTTTGTTTTCAATTGCATTTACTAGCAAAGCGACAATACTTCCATGGAGAAGGAGGCGTCCGCTCGTACCTGCACAGGCCGGCACTGAGCACGTTTATGCGGAGGCACCGCTGATGAAGAACCACTTGTCGATGGACGCGTCGATCTTCTCGGCGGGGAGCTCCTGGTGCTGGGGCAGAGGGGGGAGCTGCTCGGGGGCGGTGCGGGCGGGGGAGTGCTGGACGGTGACGTTGGCGCTGTAGGCAATGGTTAGTCGATGTGCTCTTTCAAAGGGTTTTGTCCAGGTGTCGCAAGATGGACTTACGTAGAGACGGAGCCGGCAGCGGTCTTGCCGGTGATGAGTCTCTCCCAAGCCTCACCGCACTCACGGACGACGTCCATGGCGTAGCTGCGCGATATGTTAGCCATTGTCCAAACAAATCAAGTCATGATCGAGACCAACCTCTTGTTCTTGCACTCGCCAGTGAAGGCGAACTGGTTCTCGGGCTTTCCGTCAGGGATCTTGTAGATGCGGAACCACTCGTTGGTGGCACGGAGAAGGCCGGGCAGGTGGCGCTCGACGTCCTCGACGTCGTTCAACTTGGGAGCCAGGGGGTCGTTGACGTCAATAACGATGACCTTCCAGTCGGTCTCCTCCTCGTCGAGAAGGGCCATGACACCGAGGACCTTGACCTGCTTGACCTGGCCGGTGTAGCCAACAAGCTCACCGATCTCGCAGACATCGAGCGGGTCGTTGTCACCCTTGGCCTTGGTCTCGGGGTGGACAGCGTTGGGGTCCTCCCAGGTCTGGGGATGGGTTAGACAATGTTGTGTTCAGCGGTTCTTGAGACGGCGAGCTATCGTACCTGGGGGAAGGCACCGTAGTTCCACAGGTAACCCTTGTGGGGGAAGCAGTTGCGGACGTAGCGAAGCTTGCCCTTCTTGATGTCCTGCTTGATGGGGTTGAGGAGCTCCTCCTTGGAGATCTGTGTTCGAAGTGTCGGTCAGCGCCACATGTCCATTGTATGTTTTGCTCTCCCCGATTGGAATCAACAATGTTTGCAATTGCCAACAAAGGCAGCGGCATACATGAGATTCATTGAGGGGTTGAAAGTCAATCATACCTCAAGCTTGGCGTTGGTCCAGCGGGGGATCTCGACGACCATGTTCAGGATGGTCTGCTCGGCGTTGGCGTACAGAGGAATGTCATGGAAAGGAGAGACGGGAACGCCATCCTTCTCGACGTAGACGCGGTGCTCGAGGGTGTTGGGAGCACCGACCTTGCGGACGGAGTACTGAGAAGCCATGGTGGTGTCTTGCTTGTGCAGGCTCGGGTCAGAGTCTTTGGAGATGGTAGAGAAGTGGCGGGCAATCTGAGCAGTGCGCCGGGAGGGAATTTTGGATTTAATATCGGCTGCAGCAGATTGTGATGGAGGAGGAGGGGTGCTGCGGTTGGCGGATGATGCAAGGAGGGATGGAGGGGGAGGGGTAGCAGACCCGGCTGTTAGCTTGGTGCGTGCCGCCAGGGTTGCTGAGTGATTGGCCCGGGACGGGGCCTGAATCGGGGACAGAGGTGAGAGGGTGGAACGGGCGCTGGGTCGGGCGGACGGTACGACGCCTGGGAGCGAGCCTGAGCCTGAGCCGGAGGGTGCCTTCGCTGAGAAGAGACGTGTCTTGGTGAGCGTTGGCTGCAGCTTAATGCCTCGTAAGAGCGGCATGTATACAGTGGGTGAATGGAAAGACGGAAGAAGGGAAGGGTGTGGTAGATGGGGATTAGGGGGTTTAAGCTCTGTTACAGCACACGTCTTCAGAGGGGATAACTGCTAAGTCGGTCTGTGAGCGGTGTCTGCATCCGAGGTTCGACGGGAGAGAAGAGGTGCGCCAGACGCTAAGGCGAAGACGAAGCCGGACTCTCAGGTCTTGTTGAGCTCGGTAGCTCGGTGGTTCTGCGGTGGGAGGGGCGCTGGAGCTCTCACCTTCGGATTTAGAGGCACTGCGCCGTACACGCGGCAATCGGGGCTGCAAGTCTGCTGTTGATACAACGGGGCAAGCAAGGCAAGGGAAGAAACCGGGAGAACCTCTTGGTCTGCGTTCTGGGTCTGCCTCTCTGTGTCTGGGGCCTCTGTCGCGACAGCAACCTTGCCGAAAAATCTTTACCAGCCTCAGGCGCTATTGTCTGATCCCTGTAAACTGCCCCTCAATTACCCCTCCACCGCATCTTGGACAGTGAATGTACAACGCAGTATCCATGAGGTGTCATGGCTATATCGAGTACAGCAAGGATATGAAGCCAATTGAGCCGTTCCTGTGAGGTGGCAAAGCTGTACATCTTGGTTTGCACACGAGAAGCCAGCAAACATGCCGAGTCGAATTGCGGCATGGAGTCAGCTACTGACCGACATTCCAGCTTCACATGTGAGAGCTATGACACCTTGAGGTCCTCCCCAACGATTTGGCCCGGACAAACCCAAGCTCATCAAGCCCATTCAAAGCTGTTTCTTCAAGACCGTCTGCGTCTCTTCATGCCAACACTCCGCGTGTATTGATATGATAGTTGCTGGCGTTTGAGGATGTAACAGGAATGGTAGAAGCGGTCGTTCGCTGGCAATCTCTATATCTTCGTTATGTTTGTTCTCGTCATTATAACTGCACTTGTTAGTATCACCTGCAAAGTCTGTCATGATACGGAGAAGCGAAGTATAGTAGCTGCTACGTTCTAGAAGGAGGTGTACATAAAAAAGACTGCCCTAGACTATTATTATTATTGCATATAATCTAACTCTACTGATTCGGGTCTGGCCAAATCTACCTGTAGGAGGAATAGTATATTAGACAAGAGAATCATAGAAAACGCCAATCAAATTAAGCAATGCAGAGTCTTGGGCAAAGGGTCGGATTGAATGAGACCTTCCAATGTCGTGAGCTCGATGTTGAAGAAAGATTAAATGGGTCCATTTCGATAGACGCTTATCGATAAGGCACAGCCTGTCACTTTTCTCCGTTGCTAACCCGTCAAGGCATCGCCGCATAGAAGATCCTCGCGCGCAAGACTCACATCTTCTCCAGTCGCAGACTATGTGGCATAATATCTGTCCCTGACATGTCGGTTCGCAGTATCCTCAAAACGATGGCATCCGAGATCAAGAGAGTTCCTATCCCCCGCCGCGGGGTCGACTACAGGGGCAAGATTGTCCTTGCGCCCATGGTCCGCTCCGGCGAACTCCCCTCTCGCCTCCTAGCCCTGCACTACGGTGCCGACCTGGTCTGGGGTAAGTCGCAAACACGCAAAAGCACAATGACTCAATTGACAAGTACATAGGACCCGAGACTGTCGATAAAGCCATGATCGGCACCACGCGCCGAGTAAATCCCGTCACGAATACGATCGACTGGACCAAGGTCCCCTCCTTTGGCCAGAAGAACCCTCCTAAAACGAATCCCGAAGCTTTGATCTTCAGCACCCTCCCTGAAAAAGAGGCCGGCAAGCTGATATTTCAAATCGGAACGGCCGACCCTGAGCTTGCAGTTCAAGCGTCAAGGCTCGTTGCGGCGGATGTGGCCGGTATCGATGTCAACGCCGGCTGCCCCAAGCCCTTCAGCATCAGCGGCGGCATGGGCGCGGCCTTGCTGAAGACTCCGGACAAGCTTTGCGCCATTCTGGAAGCTCTTGTCACGAACATCATGCCCGAGTTTGAAATTGGCATCAGCGTCAAGATCCGTCTGCTGTCCACCCCCGAGGAGACAGAAGCTCTGGTACGGAGACTATGCGCCACTGGCATTACCGGCCTGACGATTCACTGCCGAACGACTCCCATGCGCCCCAGAGAACGCGCAATCCGCAACGATCTCCGCATGGTCGCTGAAATCTGCCATGAGTTCGGCGTTGCCTGTATCATGAATGGCGACGTCGAGGGCCGCGACCATGCCGTGGACCTCATTAAGGAGTACGCCGTCGACGGCGCCATGATCGCTACGTCTGCAGAGGCGAACTCGAGCTGCTTCCGTGCGAGCGTCGACGGAGGCGTAGCATCGTGGGAAGAGGTCGCTGCAACGTACGTCAAGTATGCCTTGGAGGTTGCCAACAAATTTGGCAACACCAAGTATTTGTTGTGCCAGATCGTCCCCGGAAAGAGTGGCATGTACCAGAAGATGAACCAGTGCAAGACCTACACCCAAATATGCCGAGCGCTTGGTCTCGACGATCTCATGGATCTTGCTCGACAAACAGACTGGGACAAGGGCATCGATCCAGAGGGCTCAGGCAAACCAGAAAAAGCTGAAAAGAAAGCCAACCCCAGTGCTATGGCAGCTGGTGGTAACATGAAGGCGAGCCGGGACAGCCAGACATCCCGAAAGATGTCTGAGCGAGGGGTCACTGCCGCTGCTGAGTCGAAAAAAGCGGCTGTCCCTTTGCAGACATGAGATGGTGATTTTGACGTTTAATCGGGAGATGGTTCGCATCGAAGGCGTTTAGGGGGGTAACAACAAAGCATAGCGACACAAATATCACAAATACCGCTTTGGCAGGCCGGCCACAGATGATGGGGAAAACTAGATCTTTTTATACAGGAGCTCCACAATGCTAGAAATATTAAGAAGCCGAATAACTTCACTCAAGCACATTTCTTCATGATGATAAATTTTGTGGAATTACAAAGGAACCGTCAGCAGCGGCTCTGGCCGCTTCTGCTTCTATGATACAGTCCCAACCCTTCTTTTATTTGCCCTTCTTCACCCAGTCCTCAACAGTCTCACGAGCATCCGTGACCTTCTCATCGACATATCGTACACCAATCTGGCTGTGAATCTTTGCCGCCCTCAAGCTGTCCTCGATGCTCTGGCGAATCTGGAGATGTCCCTGGGCGATGACAGGGAAGCGCTGCTCGTACTTCCAGGCAAGGTTGGAAACATTGCCCATGGTGATGGGCAGAACAGTCCAGCCGGCGGTGATACCAAGGGCCAAGGGCGCGGTGGCGCGGAGAATAACACTGCGGTTGCGGGTAATGATGCTGCCGGCCATGGCAGCGACGAGGACGTAGATGGCGCCGGGCATCAGCTTCTCGCCGCTCTCGCGGGGAGGTGCCAGGGATGCGATCGTGCTGGTGAAGGATTGCTCGAGGTTGAAGGCGCGGTCCATCGTGCGGTTGACGGCATCCTCAGCGCCGACGGCGTACTGGTACAGACCCAAGCGGGCCTTGCCGATCTGGACGGCCAGACGTTCGGTAGGCGTAGGTCCTCGGGGCTTGGATGGCTCCTCGGCCGGAGGGAGCTGTTCCGTCGGGGGAGGGGGAGGGAGGGTTCCGCTGGTCGGGAGAGGCGCCGGCTCGTCGTAAATCGGCTTCTTAGACTGCGGACATGTTAGCATTGTGTGCGTATTGACTAGGAGTCCGACTGAGGATATACCTGGGCGGTCTCGGGAGCTTCAGCATGGACAGTCCGGGGAGCCAGGGCGAATCCCATCACGACGGTCGCTGCCAACGGCGCGGCGCGCTTTTGCTTCCATGTCAGCTGTCGAGTAAACCATGAAGCAACAGGTTACCACGACTTACCCGTTGTAGCAACACTCTAGCAGCCATGGTCCACTCAATTGGTCGATTGAGGGAATTGGATGTTGGCCTCGCGAGAATATTTGGAAGTATGATGTACAGGAAAGTCTCCAGGCCCACGCTGCGGCTATTTCCGGAGCTCGGGAATTCGATAATGCACCTCGCCCAAACCTGGAAGCACCTACCTGAGCACCTGCACAACCTTGCACAAAAATTCGGTCCATGCACCCGCATGCGCAACTAATCGCATTGCCGGCAATTCTACTTCACCCAAACATATTTCTACAATTCCGGATACAGATCCGAACTCACCCAACTCCCCATTTCCTTGTATCCTTACAACTAGATCTTTTGCCCCGACCAGCAGTTATGGTCTTTACGTCGAAGGGCTTTTCATAATGTTCAAACCCCCAAACCGCGGCCTCTGGGTCTGCACTCAATGTGTTCGACAAGCTTCCCGCGGCCAACAGCGCCGGTGGATGGCCGCCGCCTCCGGCGCCGCCCCCTCGAGTCTGCCCGCCGACCACGCGCCCCCGGGTAGAAACGCTGACGATGCGATCCTGCGGGAACTCTTCGACTCTCCCTCCCGTGTAGCAAAAGCATTCAAGGCTGCTGGCCCAAGCGTCGGCCTATTCAAGAACCGATACCTCACGAGCCCAAATGGATTTTACGTATTTGCTCGCCGAAGTTTGGACAAGGCGCAAAAGATTGTCCATCGAGTCCTCCATGCGTCGACTGCTTCCGAGTATCAGGACATTGTCAAGGACTTGGATCGGTTGAGTGACCTGCTCTGCAGAGTCCTCGATCTCTCAGATTTTGTCAGAATGACGCACCCTGACCCGAGGTTCCAGCAAGCAGCTGCAGGGGCCTGGTCCATGGTATACCAGTACATGAACCAACTCAACACTATGACTGGGTTGAGCGACCAGCTTGTGAAGGCGATGGCAAAACCCGACGTTGTTGCGGCTTGGTCGGAGGAGGAGAGAACGGTGGCAGAGATACTGAAGTTGGACTTTACGAAGTCGGCCGTCGACCTCCCCCAGCAAGAACGTGACCGATTCGTCGACCTCTCTCAGCAGATTAGTGAGGTTGGATCTGCCTTCGTCTCGAACATGGCCCCTGCAAAGAGGGAAGTTGTGCTGCCATCGTCCAATTTCTATGGGTTGTATCCCAGCATCGCTCGAGCACTTACGATGAGGGGCAAGTTGCGCCTCCCCACCACCGGGCCTGAAGCTCAGGCCGCACTCCGAAGCGTCAAGGACGAGAACACCCGAAAGGAAGTTTTCACAGCGATGCGCACTGCTTCGAAGCAAACCGTGAACCTGCTGGAGACTATGCTGAAGCTGCGAGGTGAGCTGGCGAATCTGGCCGGCTTTTCCAGCTACGCCCATCTTGCCTTGAAAGACAGGATGATGGCCAAGTCCCCCAGTGCAGTGTTGCAGTTTCTCCACGCGCTGCAAAAGTACAACACGCCCATGGTGCAGGCGGAAATGGCAGACCTGTTGAAGTTGAAGCAGACCCGCCTTGATAGCACGTCTACTCAGATCCATCCCTGGGACAAGGATTTCCTAATGGATGGCGTGAGGGCTGAAATGAGACTTCCCGTTCGTCACCCTGACCACCTTCCCTCCTTCTTCTCGATCGGCACCGTCATGCAGGGCATGTCAAGGCTATTCACTCGTCTTTACGGCATTTCGTTCAAACCTATGGAGTCGCAGCCAGGCGAGACCTGGCACGAAGATGTGCGACGTTTGGACGTTGTTACTGATACTGGCGACTTGATCGCAGTTCTGTACTGCGACTTATTCTTCCGAGAGGACAAGTCGCCTAACCCTGCTCACTTTACGGTGCGATGCTCTCGTGCAATTGCTCCTTACGAGGTCCAGGAGGCAGCGGAAGACCTGCACCACAACTCGTCTGACTTGCCGAAGTTTGAAAGACCCGAGCAAGCTGCCAACGATGGCATGGAGAGCTTACAGGAGAACGGCGTCTTGATGCAGTTGCCAACGATCGCCTTGGTCTGCGACTTCCCCAAGCACGATGCAAACAGCTCTGCACCAGCGCTACTGTCGTACTATCAAGTCGAGACTCTGTTCCATGAGATGGGTCATGCCATCCACTCGATCCTTGCCCGCACGAAGCTTCAGAACGTTGCCGGCACGAGATGTGCCACTGATTTTGCCGAGCTCCCTTCCACACTGATGGAGCATTTTGCCGCCGACCCATCAGTCCTTGGCTTGTTCGCGCGTCATTGGAAGACGGATGAACCTTTGCCTTACAAAATGGTCGCGGAACGGATCCGCCTGGCCAAGCGTTTCGAGGGCATTGACACCGAGAACCAGATTCTTCTGTCTCTTCTCGACCAGTCCTATCACGCCCCGGAAGTCACCGAAGGCTCCTTCAACTCAACAAAGGTCTACCATGATCTGCAGAGGCAGTATGCCCAGGGCGGCCCTGATCCTCCCGGCACCTGCTGGCAAGGCTTCTTCGGCCATCTTCACGGCTATGGCAGCACCTATTACAGCTACGTCTTTGACCGCGTGCTTGCTGAGCGAGTTTGGAGGGTCGTGTTCAAAGCCGGCGCGGACGGCAAGGCGCTGGACCGCGCCAACGGCGAGAGGCTCAAGGAGAAGCTCCTCAAGTGGGGTGGGAGCCGCGACCCGTGGCAGTGTCTCGCGGATACGCTACAGGATGATCGCCTTGCTAAAGGTGACGACAAGGCCATGGCGCTCGTCGGTAGTTGGGGTATTAAAGACGACCATGCTTGAGATCGTCCTTTTCCCCGCTGGATTGTACAATTAAGAAGTAGTATCGCTGCAAGATGCGATACTGTTCACCATAGACTTGTTCTTTTGCTTTCAGCAACTCCACTATACAACGATAGCGCCTGTCCTGTTTTCGAGCATAGGATTGGGACAACCTGTTGCCGGTACATAAGTTGCCGTTGCTTCAATTCGAGGCGACTTGCCGAATGGGGCAAGTTCCGAACGATAGAAGAAGACGAGTATATATCATCTAGAGCTGCGCCTCTCTGCGAAGCCGCTGAGGGACAAAGGAGAGAACCACTGGTTTTCCACCGCGGAAGTATCACGCAGGGAATAATCCGCAGCAGCAGCAGTGACAATGCCATTGCGTATGATTACCATAGATGAATAGACGTTCATACAGACAAGAGGCGCTCGGGGTTCTTTGGGGCCGGGATGGTGGCGTCGACCGGTGCATCGTGAAAGCCCACCGTCAAAGCTTGTCGCTCTCACCTCCTTTCAGCCGCTTGGGCTAGCTTCAAACTAAAGGCGCGATCCTTCTCATCTCGATTGTATAAACACCCCAAGGATCCCTGGCTCGGCAATATTTTGCTCGTCGTCGCGTCTGTTTACTTGTGTTTGTCCTATTCTCATGATCCCGTCCCCATGATGCTCCTCCCGATCTTGCTGGTCTCGGCCCTGGCGGGGCAGGGGTTATCGCAGAGTACGGCGACCTCTGCTTCGCCGTCTGCTTCTTCGGCTGCCACGCCATGCTATGTATGTCAAGCACTGTTTGTTTTTCCGTGTTTTCAGGATGGGGATGGTTAAGCTGACAGAATTCTTTTCCCGTGCTACAGGTTCATTGTTTCTCGCAGTTCCTGGTGGACATGACCGACTCGTGCAAGACGAAATGCGCCTGCGCGGGCTCCTCTCTGCTGAGCGACTTTGAGTGCTGTATGACGGACTGCCCTGCGGACCAACAAGCCAACATGACGCTCTCTGTGCAGAACTCCTGTACGGACGGCAAGGACCTGAAGCTCGAGTACACCTGCGCGAACACCACCCCAGACACCACAACGGCCGCGACATCGTCGACCCCGACGGCGCTGTTCACTTCGATAGTGCTGGTATCCGCCCAGACGGCCGAGGGGAGTGCCGCTACGGGTAGCGCGGGCGGGATTGGCGGCGGGATCGGGAGTGATGGCGGGGGAGGCGGGGCGTCGCCGACTGTCGGTCTCGGGGTGGGTCTCGGGGTCGGACTGCCGCTGGCGGCGGCGATTGTGGCGGGCCTCGCGTTTCTGTGGAAGCGGTCGAGCAAGAGGCGGAGGAGCCGTGGGTTGGATTCCAGGGGCGGACCGGCAGGGGGGTCGGCGGATGGTGTCGGGAGGACGTTTGTGTTTCCGAGCACGATGGTTCTGCCGACACCGGGGCTGCCGCCGGGGGAGGCGCAAGAGTCGAAGGATCTTGCGGGTGAGATGGAGATTACGCCTCTTGAGATGCTGGGTGATTCGAGACATCGTCAGGAGTTGTCGGTTTGAGGTGTAGATTTGGCTCAAAATATGGGTTACGCAGGAACACTCTGCGTTGTATATGCTCTATTAATGTAATTCTATTGCAAAGCGTCCTATTTTCGATACGACTCTCAGGCTTGTGGTTTGTCTTGCTACATGCAACCATCTGATGTGCACATCCTAGGTTGCTAAAGATACTGCCATGCCTGATTTTCCTGAGAGATTATGTGACAGAGGCCACCCGCAAGGTTGAGGATGAATAAGTTCCCAGGTCCAGTGTTCAAGGTAAGTACATTGCGCCAGCAAAGCAAAACAACTACACGCCGATGTCAGTCATGGAACTGGGTATGTTACTTGACGGAATACTCACAAGAGCCAAGATTCCTCCCTCCGCCTTGTCATCTTTTTCCCGCTCACGCAGCCTTCTCCGGCGACGTTCCGGCTCCTCGTGCACGAGTAGGCCTCGGCGAAGATCCGCAACGTCTCCTGTCAACGAAGAGTCTTCATCGCCTGTCAGTGTCTACTAGATGTAATGCAGTCATGCTCTAGCTGACGTACCGTTATCTTCACGCCTGGGATTCCGCTTACGTTCGTCCGTTTGGCAGTCTTTGGTCGCCTCGCCTTTCGCCGAGTCGTTGGTGCTACAGAGTGTGGCGCCATCCAGAGACTTGCGCTTAGAATCGATTGGGAGCATTATAGGAGAGTTCTTGCAAGGGCCGATTTATGTGTTCTGCGGGATTCGGAAGCTGGGTGTGTTATGGTCTCGGAGACGTTAAGTTACAATTGTTAAATGTCGTCGTGTTAGTTGTTGCCGGGGATGACGAAGATGTTCAATCACATGAAGGCAAAACACTGCCACAAACTTGAGGCATGGCCAACAAAAAGGCAACATAGGTGTCCGCCTGACGAATTGTTGTTGGGCGTTTGCGGCACAGCCCTTGGCAATCTGTGCCCGGGTTGTGTGGGTTGGCTTATGTTCACCCCACCATGGCTGTCATGATCGGTGAGCCAAGAGACCCCAGAACAGTTTCGTGCAATAGATGTGCTGATGTACATCAGCCAGCAGCTGTGGGCAGTTCACTGCAAATCCGGACATGTAAAGGGGCTGGAATTATGCCTCTTGTAGTCTAAGCACACATTAAGGCCATGATTCAATGCTGGTATCAATCCAAAAAGAAAAAGAAAAATGCCGATCCTCTCTCGTGTGCACCGTAGCCCGTATGTAAACGCCTCATTACCTTCAGGTCATTATGCCTCTAATCCGTGCCGTGTGTCTATTGCTCCATGACCTCCGCAGCACCCTTCCAAAAGTCGCATCGATCCTTCTGGCCGTCGTCGACGTTCTCCATGCGGTTGTTGTTGATCTCGAAGACGAGTCGCGACTGATTGTTCTTGCCTCCCCACGTCTTCCATTCCGGCGTGTCCGCCAGCTTGTGCACATTCGGATCCAGGTTGCGGATAAACGAGATCCAGTAGTTCATCATGATAGGTACTACGGGCTTGTTGTACGTGCGGAAGCTGTCGGGCGTCGGGCAGGCGTCGATGCCGAAGATGGCCGGGGCCTCGAAGACGTGCGGGACGCCGAGTCCGGAGGCGGTGTTCGTTTCGTCCTGCACGTTGAATCGGTAGGACCAACTCGCGCTCGAGAGATTCGAGGCAGCATAGGCGTTCAGGATGTTGTTGGCCGGGCAGATGAAAGTCGTCTCGCCATATGCTTGGCTCGCTGAGGGAAACCAGGCGTTATGGTTCGGCAGGGCGGGCAGAATAGGATACTTCTCGAGCATGGTGTCGGTCTGGTTCTGACCGAGTTTCGGGTAGTTATCTATCATGAAGTTTGCGAACTGATCTTGAGTCTCGACGTTTGCTGCGAAGACAGATCCCTCTAAGTATCGGTGAGCATGAGAACTTGTGCCTCCTCCGTACGCAACACTCACCATTCGATCCAGTCCCAAAGAGCACAGGGACTTTGATGAACTTTCCCTTGTCGTACATGGCGTATGGGTAGTCTTGAATGAGATCTCCGTCTATGCAGGGGGTCCAGTAGAAATGCGGGTTCAGTTGTCGTCCGGGGAATGGCGATCCTGCGTTGGCTTCCTGTATCGCCTTAATGTCCTTGCCACGTAAACAACCCATTTGATCCTTTTCGTCTTTGCAGCCCAAGTTCTCCGTCGTCTTATTGAATTGATATTCGAGCTCGTTCACGCGTGGCTGGGCGGGGAAAAATACGGATTCGGCCATGGCTCCCACAAACATCTTCTCATCCTTTCCGCCGTGTGCTGTGAGATGAAGGGCGACTGAGCCGGCGCCTGCAGAGACTCCATGAATGACGACGTGATCCGGGTCACCGCCGAACTGCAAAAGTGAGCCAAACCAATGCTGATATGAAGGTGAAACTGATATTCACCTTGGAAATATGAGTCTTGACCCATTTCATCATCAGTCGCTGGTCGAGGACTAAATTTCATCAGCTTTGGTTTCCACGGTAATGTCTTGTGCAAGCTTACGTCCAGCGTTGAGATCGCCATCTTTTCGTACCCGCTCGCTCGCCAGAAACCCCCACAAACCAACTCTGTAATTAAAGCCGACGAAGACGATGTTCTTGCCTGAAGTTTCAACCACTTGAGAGCCGTTCCAGTTTGGATTAGCATTGGAGGTGTAGCCTAGGTGGTGTTAGTGACCTTCGACACCTGGTCCATGCATAAGGACAGAGTGAGACAGGGCACTCTCTGGCATCGACGGCGCAACGACAGCCTTCAAGGGTCACCATACCTCCACCTTGGATGAACAACCATACGGGCAGTTTCGAGTCTGGTGTTGTGTTGTTGGGCGACCAAACGTTGACAAACAAGCAGTCTTCATCTTGTCCTGCCGTGGGGTAAGACGCGTCTGTTGCGAGACAAATCGAGCCAAACTGAGTGAGATGCGGTCAGCCACAGCACACACCAAGCAGACGGACATTCTCACTTCGATAGCATCTGTTGTGCCCTCTTTCTTTTCTGGATCTTGTGGTGCTCGCCATCTCAAGTTTCCTATTGGGGGCGCAGCATAGCGCATCCCAAGGAACTGATTCACCCCGCTTGGCAGCACATTTCCTGAATAATTGGCGTAGCCGAGATCAACCGCGACCCTGGGCAGGTTGAGCTGTCACGCAGTGTTAGCTTCCACACATGCGCGGGGAGGATTCTTTGAAAAAAGTGGAAATCGAACCTGATCCCGCGCGCCGATGTATTCACGGATGTTGAAGTAGAGAACGACAGTGAGGGCAGCTAATATCATGCTGGCGATGGCGAGCGGGACAGAGTGTTTCCTCCAGTTGAGGAATCCCTTCCCCTCGAAGGCCGGGTTGAAATTTGGGCGAACATGTTTCCAGGTCATATGGTCCAAGAGCTGGTATCCCACGTGAGAGGAGCCGAAGCACTTAGCAAACCAGCTCATGAGGGGTTTGAGGAAGCCGAGCGAAGCGCAGCGCGGGGTGACTGGACGAGTAAGAGAGAGCGAGCTTTGCGAGGCAGAGTCTAAGCTAGCGGCGGCGGCATGTCGTTTCCGAGGAGGGATCCGTGCCAGTCTCACAGACTTGCTGCAGCGGGTGAGATGGCGCGGGTAGGACGCCGAAGATGAGGCCCCGATGAGATGGACGTACACGAGCCTCGTTCAGTCGTTGATGTTGGGCGGTTGGTGATTTTGCTAGATTTTTCCCGTCCCGGCAGAACCAAGAAAATAGGGGCCAAGACGTATGGAATTGGCGATGATATCTCTGAGAACAAGGTGGAGGGTTGAACCTTGGCAGTCCCCAAGAAATGGCTTTGTTGACAGGAACGGTACTTTGGCCCGCTGCCAACGGGAAGTGGGAACGCGGGTTCACTGGGGTATCTACCTGCTTACTGCACAGTTCCTCACCTGTCGACGAGTCGATCGATACGCTCGCTGTAAGGTACAGGTATTCTGCGACACTGGCACACGCACTCTGCGGAAACCGAAGCTAGACCTGGGAAGCCACGCTCTGCAGAAGTGATGGGGGCACGGCCGCCTGTGTCATTGCACTGCCAAGTTGAAGCTGCAGTGACGTCGCCAGGGGACATGTCGGTCTACAGGGGGTGATCTGGCTTCCAGAACCTGGCACATCCGAACGGGAGCCACTGGAAACACTGGAGCGACAGCCAACAGGATGCCCTAAAGACGCCGGGTTTTGGCTCTATTCGGCAACGGGACGGCAGCAGTTCACCGACGAGGGACCCGCAAGGCCCATCTTCATCTCTCCAAGCCCGGAGCAGCCAGGCCGTCCGCTGTACCTACACTACCAAAAAGCGTTGTCATTGTAAGGTAGGTGTTCGTCGGAGAAGGTGGGAAGGGAAAGGTTTGCTCAACCGGGAAGCTCGACTGAACAGAGTTTGACGCAATGCAATCTGCTGCACTGGCAACAGAGAGTCCCCGGCACGCTTCGCAGCAGACAGACGGTTCCTTCCCCGGCGCGCAGGGTGCTGCCGGCTTGGCGCTTCATCTGATAGATGAGGTTGAGTCTGTTGCTGATGCTGAACATGGCAACTGAGCAACACTGGACGAGCTTCCATCCTTGCTGTATCTCTGTTTTCCCTCTGCCAAGGTTCGTGTTGATCGCTATCGTTATGGCCGGTTCTTATCGCTTCCTCCATCGGGGTTCACTGCCTTTTTCTCTGTTGCATTTCGTTGGGCCTGGAGGGGAAAAAAACTGGAAATCTCTCCGGGGACCGTGGCATAGATGAAGCAGAAATACTGGGGAAGTCTCCAGCGAACATGGACATGGAGACTTGAAGCGAACAGAAATAGAGCCGATGAGACCGATGATACGATTAGACGCGTCCATTCGTTAGCGCAGCCTGCTTCAGACCTCCAGGCTTGCCCATCAGCGAGCAAGGACCTCATCTCGGTCCCGAGAATTCGTGGCTTAGATAAGCGAGACAGATGGCTTGATGCCAACCAACACTGAAAGCTGAAGTCCCGTGATGCCGCCGTCAAGTCAGCAATCAATCCGTCCGCCCTGGACAAAGACGGGGCGTTGCCGTCTTACATCTTCTCACTGTCCGCCTGCCTGTCTTACTGCTGCCGCTGTGCGAGGAGCATCTTCAAGTGGCGGCTTGGCCCGCACGAAGCACCCACTCTGATCCATTGCGGCGGCCAAAAATAGCAGCATGACCTCGCCCGAATGTTGTTTGGCGTCTCGCTCTTGTTGGCTCTTTGGGGGAGGGTGGTGCAAGGCCAGAACACCATGAAGAGCTGTTGGACGCAGCCGCATGCGGATATCCCGAGTCTCGACGGCGAACCGCTGGCCTCCGTGTGTGGAGGAGGGGCGACTTGACATGACTGATAATGGCCGCCGACTCCTGTTGGTGCTGGGCGGTTGGCGGCGTGGAGGCGCACATACTTGTAGGTAGGTAAGGTAGTGGGTGTGAATCATGGTGGCTCGCAGAGAAAGGCGACTGGAGGGAGGACTGGTTGCAACATGCCACGCTTGTGTGATTCGACCAGTAGGCAGAAAAGACATTTCCCTATTATTGGGGTCTCAACTTGATTCAGTTAGGCTCTCTCCCTGCATATCGCAGTGGTGTTGCTCAGGGTCTGCATGTTTCAATCCCTCTCCGCCGCGTCAAGGCGGTATCTCGCAGAGAAACGCAGCACGGCGCAGTTCGACGGGAAGCCAACAGCCACTGTTTGATCTCA